CTTGTGTCAATGCTTTTTAGACCAAGTTGTTATACCAATAGAAAAAGACTATTACTTACAACTACTTATTGTATAAAATTACCATATATTGTACAAACACAAAAAGATCAGGTTTTTCACGACTCTTGGAGTCGTTTTCCTGCAAACCAAAATATTCAGCCAGTTTTTGGCGGTGTTAAATGAATAAATAAATAAATTTACCGTGATAAAACTCAGTGACTCCGCTCTGTTCATATTGCTACTCACTTGATAAACAGAACACAAAATATAATAGAGAGTGTATTCATATTGTTCTCGAAGAAATGCATTGCTAATTAATATTTTTTATATGGAGCGGTCTGCTGAAAATATATTTTTCGAAAAACAGCTCCCTTCGCCCTCGCGCGCCTTTTTCTAAAAAACACTCCCAAAATAAAGCGCTCGAGCGCCTTCGGCGCTCTCACGCGCCCTTTTTTTCAAAGCAATTCCTAACACAAAGCGCTCGAGCGCCGAAGGGCTCGCGTTTGTTAAAAAGATGTTTCTTCAATAGGCGCTCGGGCGCCTTCGGCGCCTCCGCGCCCTGGTGCGCCGCACTCCCAGCACTCCCGTTCGGACAGGCGCTGCACCAAACATCCAGTTCCAATTCGCCGATTTCGTTGAGCTCTTGATTTTCAGTACCCAATTGACCGTACGTGAACTCCACTTCGGCCGTGTGTTCGTTACGTTTAATATGCTGCTGATTCAAATACATGTACAAAAAATTTAGGTATTCCACACCCTCACTGTATTCAATCCAAGCGGCATAGTAATGCTGCAGCAACGTATCGTTTGCATTGTCATTTTCCGATGGTGCAACTTTTTTTGCAAGCAAATTATGCACTGTGACTCCAGCAATTACTTCATTTCATTGTACAGCTCATCGACCATCGGCTCAGGAAATGTAACACACAGCGAGTAGACATCACTGAAAAATGAACAAGTTTGGAAATTATTTTAGATTAAAAAAATAATGTGGAGCCGAAAATGAATAGATTTTGCCCAACTTTGACACAATTTTTTTGGCAGCAATGTTTTGGCGTCGGGTACGCAACGGCATCTCTTGAATCTGGCGTCTTTTCTCTTGTTTTCGAATCGATGCATACATCTTGCTCATCAATGCTTACAGCTGTCAAAAATCGGTATTTTATTAATATGTTAATAAACAGCATATTTTAATAATTAATAAAAATTGTGAAACACCATATTTATTAACGTTAATAAATATAGTGCATTTTATTAACATATTAATAATTATTAGTATGGTGAATTTTCGGTTATCAAACCGCCCAATCTACCTAATGAATGCAATGTTACTACGATTCCAAATTGTGATACTTATTTGATTGATTTTAACACAAATACAAATACTGTCAAACATAGAGTTACCGAATATTTTAAAAGAAGCAGAATTTGGAGAGAGTAAAATGAAATATTAAAATATCAAATTGTAAATATTCTAAATATAAAATAATATTTATACTAAATAAACCACCTCTGGCGAAGAAACGCTGTACGGTGCAGAATAATAATAATAATAATATGGTGTAGATTTTATTAAAATGTTAATAACGATATTTTATTAGAATTTTAATAAAATCGACAATTTTTTTATTAGAATTTTTATTTTATTATATTATTAATATGGTACCGATTTATTAGAATTCTAACAATTTTTTTGAAAAGTTTCATACAAAAAACATGTCAAATATTTTCAGACTCATTTTTCATCGAGATTTTGTTGTGATAAATGATTGTCTTAATCTAAACGCTGTGTTGACTTTGATGTGAACATGATGTCGTCCGTTGATAAAATTGGATAAAATCCAATATGTTGTCGAATTTATTGGAATTCTAATAAAATCGGCAACATATTAATAACGATATTTTATTAAAATTCTAATAAAAAAATTGTCGATTTTATTAAAATTCTAATAAAATATCGTTATTAACATTTTAATAAAATCTACACCATATTAATAACCGAAAATTCACCATACTAATAATTATTAATATGTTAATAAAATGCACTATATTTTATTAACGTTAATAAAAAATTCATTTTATTGAAAAATTAATAAATTATTAATATGATAATAAAAAAATATGTTAATAAATTATTAATATGTTAATAAAGTGACAGCTGTATCAATGCTTGCTGGTATTATGGGCGAATGATTGTCTTTAGCGCACATTTGATCGTCGTAATTTCTTCGTCCTTCGTTTCTCCCTTCGCTGGAATGGATGGCTTGAAACGATTCGCCATTTTCCTACTGAAAGAAAAAAAACACACATTCGATTTAGTTTAAAAATGAATAATATTGAAACTTAAATTTAATTGGTTCGAACGAAAACAGAACGAGAATTTAACCCCCTTTTTTGGTATACACACTGATGCAACACACAAAAGTGACAAAAATCTTCGAATTGATAACAATGGCAGTGATTTAGAGAAGTGATTAACTGTTTGTCTTCATCTCTGAACAATGGAACCAATTCATATTGGGTATCACCGCTTGAAATGAACTTTACCACGTCACGCAACAGAATTATGTACTGCAAAATTATTGTGAAATTCAATATTTTTTCCATAAAATGTAATATTACTGTTCAAATGTTAAACGTTAAATAATTACTAGACTCGTTTAAATACATTTCAAGTTATAAATAGCTTATATTACGTGTAAAGCTGTCAACGGACAAAAGGTTGTCCGTCCGTCCGTCCGAAAACTCCGAAAACTTGTCCGTCCGAACTTTTTTTCGGACGGACAACATCTGACAAAAAATTTTTTATCTCGGACAAACGGACAACGGACACGGACAGGTTTTGTACGAAACATTTCGGACACGCTTTTTTGTCCGAACTTTCGGACAGTCCGAATGTTCGGACACGTTTTCGGACGGACGGACAATTTTTTGTCCGAAATTTGTCCGAAAATTTCAATGAAACTAAAAACACGTTTTTCCCGTCCGTTCGCCAAAAATTTTAATTTTTCAACAAATGGTTCGCGTACTTAACGCTTATAATTTTCCAACGGATGATCGTATCTTGAGAAGTACTTTCTTCTGATACTTCTTAATGAAAATTGTATGAAGAAAAATTCTCAAAACTAATAAGAAAATTAATCAAACTATTTGCTCTTGTGTAAATGTTGTGTTGATTATTAAAAGAGCATAGAAATGTTTTGATTCTCAAATACTACAGTACCTTTTCATTTTTAAGAGTTATACATTGTTTGGATTTTTCTTCTCTTCTTCACATAGAAACTTTCTATCTCTTGAGTTTCTGTGGAAGTAGTTGAGTTTTTGATAAGTCAAGAGAGAGATCAAGATACGATCATCCGTTGGAAAATTATTAGCGTTAAATCGACGCTATGTTTACTCCCGTGCTCGCATCGATAACGCCACTGGTGCTAGAAAGTGAACTATGATAGCATATATTAAACACTGTATGTCAGATTCGAAAGTTATATCATTTGAATATTCTTTTTGAACAGATCGCAACCGATGTGATGTAAGTTTTGGTATAGAGGAAGAAGAAGAATACACATTAACAAAAAAACAATCCAAACCAATAAATATAATCATTTTATTTCTTGTAATATTTAAAATACATTAAGTATTGTTTTCGCGTTTATACAAAGTCCACAATGAAGTTGAACAAATGTCATTCCGTTCGTTAACATTCCATATTCCGGTCGATTTTTGTTCAATGGTATGTACGGCTTGAAATAGTTTTGTGCATTTTTGTGTAGTTTTGTGCGGTTTTGTGAGATTCCGAGCAATGAATATTCGTTTGTTTTCATTTGTTTTATTTTTGGATTACATTTTTCAAAAAATTCAATGGAATAAAAACGAATTTTATGTGTTGCTTGCATAGATTGACGTTTATTTAAAATTAGTAGTTCAACATCGTTCAACATCCAACGGATGTGTATATACATGGTAATACCATGATGGTATACAAGATTTCAAACTTAGGCAAATTCGAGAGAGTGATTGTCAAATAGTTAACTTCCTAACATCAGTTTCGCGGCGGTATTTTTTTTATATGGGAGCTTATGGAGAAAACACAGAGTCGCGTTAAATGAACCATTTGTTGAAAAATTGAAATTTCTGGCGAACGGACGGGAAAAACGTGTTTTTAGTTTCATTGAAATTTTCGGACAAATTTCGGCCAAAAAATTGTCCGTCCGTCCGAAAACGTGTCCGAACATTCGGCACATACGCAAACTCAAGTCACTTGAATTCAACAATGTGCCGGATCAAATTGATACAAAACGCACGTGTATCGAAAATAATATGAATTATAAGCGAAATCGTAGGAAAATTAAAACATTGAATTGGCATTTACACTGCTGTAGTTTATATTGTAATGAAATGTACGATTGATTTGTTGACTTGGTGTTTACAACGCCAAATGTGTTCTCGGTATGAGCAAACCGGCGATTATGACATTATGACATTTCGAAAACCAATGAAATGAACGGCAAATATCAAAAGGCTCGGTTCACATCAATAAAACTAATTCAATATTTAGACATTAGACAATTTTTGCTTCAAAGTGTTTTTTGCTTCGGGACGTACCAATATCAATCGATTCTTTACATTAATGCCATAATTTGAAACAGAATTTTATGTTCTTTGAATTGAAAACTACCATTTTTCTCTTTTCAATTTCAGGGAAACTATCTCTACATTGTGCATACTGTATGTCTTATTTATAGTCAATATGTATTCGATACGCATAACAAATGAAACGTGAAAAATGTATTAATACTTAAAAGAAATTAAACTTCCGTGTATAAGCATGAACAAATGGGCAACCTAGTTCTTTTTATTTTCTCCTTAATTTAAAATCCCCTATTTTTCACGTTATGAAAAACACCCAATGTAGGTATTCGATTATCAACTTGCCAAACTAACCTATACACATGTTTAATTCATCGTTCAATTTTGTTCTCATACTCTTCTGTCTACCTTTTTATGCAACAGTGTTGTGGATTGACATTTTAAAAATTGATTATTTCCTCAATAAAATGCGAATTTTATGATTTTTGACGAATGAATGTAAAAATATGTTTACAGTTTGTCATCTCGTAGCTTTGAGCAGGAATTATGTGTATAAGAAATATATACTGACTCAAAACTAGACTAGAAATATATTTTAGTTGAGTTATGTGCATGAATAACAAGTTGTTGACAAGTTCGTACGAAAAATTGACATATTTGTCAAATCTAAAAACATGTATTATTTTGAAACAGCCGATGCTTCTGAAATCAATAGTCACATCATAATGGAAGAAAGTTATGAACTCTGTAATTTGACTGAACTAACATTGGAGTTGAAGAAACCTCTCTACGTCACTCGACGAATAAATGTTTGTATATACAATTCATCAAAATAAATAATATTGAATTACTCATTTTTTTCTTCATTACTAGTATACGTGTTATGACGTCTCAAAAAATTACATTGTCTGTGGTGCGACCAGTGGCAGTATTTACCTTTTCCGACGATGTCCAGTTTCGCTGCTTCAACTTATTCCCAATTTGAACGGGCCCATAAAGTTAGTAGCCATCTCACCATTAGAGCAATACATCTGTTTCACGACGCAGAGGGGAGCAATTAATGTCTACATATTGAATTTCTCAACACTACAACCCATTATCAGTTCTTATTACCTTCACGAGATGAACATAACTCAAATCAAGTGGAAACAAAATGAAAATCAAATATATTTCGGCGACATAAAAGGAAATGTGTTTTTAGTGAATTTGAATAATTTTTTGGTAAAACATTGCTAGGCTCATGCAGTGAAATAGTATACAACATATACATTTCTGCTTCTAGGGTAAAAATTCTTTAAACATTTCGGTGCATCCCATTCTATTTTTGGAATCTCCAATTGTACAAATTTGCGAGTATGAGGATTTACTACTTGTGTCTAATTTTACGAAATGTATATTGTGCAACACGATAACGGAGGAATACAAACAGGTTTGTCGAATCGTTGTACTTGAACATAAATTAAAAATTGAACATAAAAAAAATTCCAACAGATTGGTAACCAACCGCGAGATGGAAAATTCGGGGCCTGTTTCCATTCGAATGAAAAAACCCAAACTACACGCGTGATATGTGCACGGCCTGGAAGTCGTATTTGGGAATGTAGCATCGAAGGAAATGTTATGAAAACACATAAATTCAAAAATGCTCTGGAAAAGAAGCAAGCTACCAACTTCGGTGATATTCCATCTTATGGAAAAAAAAAAAGTAGAATAGATTCAATGAAACCTGGGATTAATGATCAGTTAATAGATTTGCAAATCGTTAATGATTTTTTTGTTCTGGGACGTAGCACAGAAGTTTTCTACATTTTTGACTTCATACATTCAAATATTGTACTCTGGAATAGCGATTTCGGAAGTATAAACACGATCAAAGTGTGTGATGATACAATATTTATCTTTACCAATGACCATAAAGCGTACGCACTTCAACTGAAACGTTTGGATGAGCTTTTTTTCCAATTATTTGATATGGAACAGTTTGCACATGGGATTCATCTCTTTCAAAAAAATATTTCTTATTTCAAGAACAAAATATATACCAAAATGTTTCAAAAATATATCGCTATATTGCGGAACAAATGGCATGATTCAGATAGTGAAAATCCCTTGGACGATTTTTTTCATAGATTCGATGAAATGTTTTTCAGTATGAATAAAAATGAAGAATGTACAATTTTAACTGATAACATCTCAAGTCAAAATTCGAATAAATCACACCTAAGTGTATTCGAATCTGTTCCGGAAAAGGACAATCAAGATAAAAAAAAATTCACAGAAAAATATTATAATGATAATTTGACTGAGGAATTCAATGAAAAAATCGATACCCCCAATACTCAAATTCAGTTTGAATTAAAAGAATTCGCCGAAGAACAAAAGATGTTAAGGAACTTATTTTTCATATATAAATCTTTGAAAATATCCAAATTCAATATTAGGGAACGATATGCCGAATTGTTCGATAATTATGATTTACGTCGCATTCAACAGTTGTTGAGGGCTCTACAGGATATGATTCTCGAGAACGAATATGGTACTACGGAATTTGAAGCAAAAAAAACTTGCGCGTACATCTATTTGAATTATGTTAAGGACGACTGTCTAGTCTCACATGAATCTGAAAGTTTCATTATTGATTGTCTCCTACTAGTTAATTCGCAGAACAATGCGACAAACAGTACCCAACGTTGTCAGCTTTGCAATTTTCCATTAACTGTTTCGGGAACGTTGGAAAACTTAAAATTCATGGAAAAAGTAGAACTGGTTGTAAGCAGACTTGTCAGACGGAATGAAAATCATAAATTGTTCAGAATAATTGATGAAATTCCAACAGTTTTGATTATTTTATTAAAAATTCATGCAGCGCAAAATTGTAACAGATCGATATCAGATATTGATATCTCCGATTTATTTTTCTCTTGTGTTCATCTTCAATATTTTTTACATCCGATTATGCAGAACTCTCAACTTTTCCACACTTATGAATTTTGGAAATGTCTGGCATCACGTTTCATTCTCTTACACGACGAAATGGCGATTCAATGTATTCGATGTCGAGCATATAGTAAAGTAAACTGTATCGATCCAGAATATTCTTACGACAACGTATTCCATCACTGTCTACTTTTTCTACCACCCATATCAGTACTAATGCTATTGAATGAACTAGCAAATTTAATTCCATCTGATGCTATCAGCAGAAAATTATATGTAAAATGTTTGTTAAATGTATCTTGAATAAATGCTTGTGCAAAAACCACTTATAATATATGTCTTCATTTTGTAGGCTTGCCTTTTGAAAAAACATAGCTGAAAAATCTGAAATTTGGACTCAAATAGCTGACCAAAAACCGCCAAAATGCTATTTTATCATATTATTTGACAAGACGCAATAAAAAATAAAGAGTCTTACCGATGTAAGACGAACTTTTCCGCACTGCTCTAAAAAATAATACTGATTGCTTTATTCATTAGTTACAAAGATCTCGGCGTCATCATTGATCAGAAATTTAGTTTTGTCCAACATATCGACGCAATTACTTCGAAGGCAACAGCCGCCCTTGGTTTCATCAGGAGATTTTGTTACGTATAACCGACGTTCAAACTCTCAAAACCGCGAGGGGTATCATTACACTAACAACAACATCATTTGCAAATTGAAATTCGTCCAAAACCTGCTGACACGAAGTGAACGCGCTCACTTTACAAATGCACTTGTTGTTCATCTTGCCGGTTTGACAGCTTATGTCAAATCTACTTCTGTTTCAGTGTAGTTTTCTGTTCGAACGCAAGAGTTTTCTCAGTATGGTCCCCAAAATTAAAGAAACAATTCTGCCACGAACCAGTTTCTATTTTGAATCTATCATTTTGTGTTTTTTTTTTTAAGAATTATTATTATTCTGCACCATACAGCGTTTCTTCGCCAGAGGTGGTTTATTTAGTATAAATAAAAATATTCTGGTATATTTACAATATATACAATATTAAATTAAATTCAATTTCTCCAAATTCGGTTTCTCTTAAAATATTCAGCTACTCTCTGTTTTACAGTACTTGTACTTGCATTGAAATCAATTAAATAAGTATCACAACTCGGAATCAAAGTAATATTACATTCATTTGGTAAATTTGGTGGCTTGATAGGAACGAAGTATTTATAAAATTCGTTGTATGTACTCAGCATATAATTTATAGTTTCAAACTTGGCATTATTATTACGATGCATCGGCAATAGTAGAAAATCTGAGTCTCTCGTCCAATGTCGCGGTGTTTTAAAATTAATTTTGCTCAAAATGTATTTCGATGACGTATGACCACCAATCACATTATGGACGAGTGATATTTGGGCTATTTTTCTTCGTTCCTCCAGCGTAATCATTTGTAATTCAAGCAGTCGGCATTCGTACGGTGGTTTCCTGAATCTTTGTGGCCATTTCATTTTGCGTAGAGCGAACAATAAAAATTGCTTCTGGATCGATTCAATTCGTGCAATCTTTTCAGCGGTGTATGGATTCCAAACTTGGGAAGCATATTCCACAATCGGCAATACAAATGTGGAAAACAATTTCTTTATGGTCCATGGATCATCAAATTCATATCCAAACCGTTTAATCCATGCTAAACGTGATTTCGCTTTGGCTGTAATGTACTCAATATGTGCGTTAAAATTCAATTTATGGTCAAGTATTACTCCTAG